AAGGAAGGAAGGAAGGAAGGAAGGAAGGAAGGAAGGAAGGAAGGAAGGAAGGAAGGAAGGAAGGAAAAGAGAGAGAAAACAGGCTAAAAGTTCATCAGCAAGGAAAAGTTTGAATAAATGATAATGAGATATTGGTTTTCAGCTAGTATGAATTAATGTAAAAATTTTAATTGTAATAAATGAAAAACTTAGATGGATAAACAATATAATACTAAAGCTTACTTTTAAAAAATGTATTTGCAAGGCCGGGCATGGTGGTGCATGCCTTTAATCCCAGGACTTGGGAGGCAGAGGCAGGTGGATTTCTGTGAGTGCGAGGCCAGTCTGCTCTACAGAGCAAATTCCAGGATAGGCTCCAAAAGCTACACAGAGAATCCCTGTCTTAAAAAAAAAATGCATTTGCATGAAAAGAGAAAAAAAAGACACACAAGAAACATACCAAAATTACAACCAGCTATTTCTGATTTATGGAATTTAGGGTTATTTTAACTTTTTTTTTCTTCTTGCCGTATGTCTGTATTTCCTAGATTTTTCTTTAAAAAAAAATGATAAAAAGGAGAGAACTGCTACTGAATAAAGTAGATCTGAAATATCAGCCTTGGAGTTAATGGAGCAGGAAAGAAATACTGTGTCTGTCTCTGCATACAGACTCTCTGGAAACTCGCTTGATCACCACCACATGTCCAACCAGTACGACCACAAGCACCTCTCACCGTTCCATCCTCAGACTCCCCAAGTATCCCCAGACTGACATCACAGCACAATCTCAGTGCTGCAAATACGACACCATCATCTCAGCTACTTGGAAACAGCAAGGATCCCAGTGTTTTACTGTCCTTTCAGACATCTGACATCTAGCAAATACAGTGAACCTCACATAGACATATTCCCAGCTATTAAAATCTAAACCCGCGAGTGTTATCTCCTGCCCTTGAGGTGCCTGATACAAAGGAAGCATGATTGAGCACCTGACTGATAAGGCTGAGCAAATATGTCTTTTGAAATGGGCTACAGGGAAAGCCCAGGTTGGGATGTGCAATGTGCATTAAAGTCTAGCTAGGTTTGAGTAAAAGGTGAGTCTCAGTTTAGGGAAGGGTGACTCCTAGAATATCTGTCTAAGAAAAGCCATGTTATTACCTTCAAATCCACTAAGGCTCACAGTATAATGTTGAAAGTCTAAAGTAAGGTAATAAGTACATAAAAGACTTTCAGGGGTAGGTGAGAATTATTTATAATGAGCATATTGGTCTAGTATGATTTGGTCCTTCTAATATGTTTTAAAATAACTTATTTGAAATAGTAAAGAAGTAACTTTTATCTTTATCAATAGAGTCTCATAGAACTTGGAAGAATCGAGGTAGAAATGGCCTGCAAGCCTCCTCCATGAGAACAAACTCTCACAGTGTCTGAAGGTGCTATGTAAGCTACCAAGGGACAAAATCAATCAATAACCCTACACAGCTGTAAAGCCTGAACCACAACGATGACCAGCTTGTCAAGACATCCCCAATGGTGCAATGGTGGCACTTTTATGTTGGGGCAACCACAGCTGTCCAACTGGACTTGAGGCCCACTCACTAGGGTGGACTTCACGCCTGGAACTGTAACAGATCATGACCTTACAGGAGAAGGTGATGCTGCCATCTCCCTAACCAATGTAATTCCTAACTGTATTCTAAATACCTGTCCTTATCTTCACAGACACGTGCAGCCCTCAGCCCTCATCCAAGAAGTATCTTTTTGCAGCAGATAGAGACCATGACAGGCCTACAACTGGTCAAAATGCAGAGGCTAAGTCACTGTGGAGTGCCCGGCTCCAGCTGACACAGCTACAACACAACCCTCCTCCAGACACTCAGGGGACATCACAGAAGACGGGCAGAAGGTGGAAGAGCCAGAGGGACAGGAAGTCTGCTCTAAAATTGTGCCTTCTAGATGTGACAAGGAAGCTACACCCACAAACTCTCAACAATCTGGTGGCTTAAAAAAAGACCTGGACGATGATGACTCCCGTTGACATGACAGCACGAATGGGGGAATGTCACAAGGTCCACGCCTAGGTGAAGAGCTATATAGTCAATCAATGACTGCAGGGGGGAGAATTATTTTTCCCCGGGTCCAAGCCCCCTGGTTGGTGTCCAGTTCCAAGTGGTCAGCCCTAAGCACATGAATATAGGAGCAACATTAAATGGACTCAGTTTCACACACACACACACACACACACACACACACACACACACACACACACCATTAATAGTTTAAGAAGAGGTCATGAATTTGAGGGGGAGTTGGTCAGGGGGAGACATGGGAGGGCTTAGAGGGAGGAAAGGGAACAATGAACTGATATAAACACCATGTTCATGTATAAAATGATCAAAAAATTTAAAAAGTAACTTAACCCCTTAATCAGAGCAGTTTTCTCGATTGTATTTGTATTCTTTTTTGCATGTGTATGTGTGTGGTGTGCATGTATAGTGTGTTTGCATGTGTTGGGTGTGTGAGGGTGTGTGTCTGTGGGTGTATGCAGGAAAGAGGTTGACATCAGGGTGTCATCTGTGATCTCCTTCTATTTTCTTTATTGGAGCAAGTTCCCTTTCACCCATGTGTAGAGACAACTTGTACATGTCATCCACGGGGCCACCAGACAGAGTGGTATCAAATGAATGCCAAAGGCCTGGGCACAAGAAGCATTCAGGGCCAGATTTGTTCTCCAAGAGTGAATGGCTGCAGAAGCTTGGTGAAAACATGGAAGTTACCGGCTTCCTGGTGGGATGATGTAGAGGTGGGGATGGGAAGAGTTCCAGGGTGTGGAACATAGCATTTACGTATGTGAAGCAAGAATGCTCATTTATCTGTCACTCTCCCCAAGCCAGCTGACTAAGGCGCATCCCCGGCTTGTGTTTTGGCAAACCCTGTGGGATGACTCCTGAGCACAAGCTTGTCACTCTTCTGCCTCTTTCTCCGGGACATACATCAACTGCCTGGACTGAGTCATGTCTGCAGAGCTGAGGGCTGACCCATATACACCACAAGCTAACGTCTGGCTATCATTATGAAGAATTACCGTGGCAGTGCCAGTTCTCCAAGCATCTCCCTGATCAAATGCCAAATCACTTTCGACTCACTCTAGTTCCCAAGCCCCACCCACTGCCAGGGTTCTTCCATCTTGGAGGCCTCGGATTTCTCATTTTCTTTCCATTTCTTCAGCTGCTGCATAATCCCAGATGTGATCCTGTGCAGCTCCCGACACCTGGAACATCATGTCCTTCCCACCAACTCAGCTGGTCTTCCAAACAGCTGATTCATGGAAAACACGTCCCCCTGTGACCCATGAATTCTCTCTCTCAAGGGTCCCAGTGACACACTGTCTACTCAGTCTTTTGTTTGTTCATCTGATGTGCACCAGGGGTCTTTCTGGGTCCTGGGGCTGTGGCGTGATCAATATGCCAGAAACGGGAGGTTCTGGGTGGAATTTATAACCCTGGCTCTTTGGTTGATTTTCCCCTGAATTTATATATCTTCCCATGTATTTATTCATACATATGAATATATATTTGGCTCTTTGGCAAGACCTGTCTTGCATGCTGTCAAAGGGAGACTGTGATCATTGCTTCATACTGCAAGGATGCAGCTTATAGGAGAAATGGCTTCTAGAGTTCTGCACTACAGTGTGATAACCACAATTAACAACTAGTAGGTTGTTTCAAAATAGTGGTGAGGATGTTGAGCTCTCCATCACAAAGCAAGATACCCATCTGACTTAATAGATATGTCGGTGGCCCTGATACATCATTACACATCACGAACATGTCATGGCTGTACCTGGCAAGAACTTGTTTTCCAAAAATGTAAGAGAGAGAGAGAGAGAGAGAGAGAGAGAGAGAGAGAGAGAGAGAGAGAGAGATTTAATTTTAGCACTCAGGAGGCAGAGGCAGGGGATTTCTAGGAGTTCAAGGCCAGTCTAGCATAGATAAGTTCCAAGCCAGCCAGAGCTATACAGTGAAACCCTATTTCAAAGAAGGGAGAGAAAGAAAGAAAGAGAGACAGAGACAGAGACAAAGACAGAGACAGAGAGACAGAGCACAGATATATACAATTATACAGTCACTGTGCATCAATTAATTAAACATATTTTTGACCACGCTGAACACACAAAGTGCCATCCGTACAAAGATTAAGGACAAAACCTGCCCCAAGAGAGATCTTTTAAAATGACCCAGCATGTCTCACAAGCCTTGGTGGGCTGGACTGTGGGTACCCAACCAAGAGAGGAGGGACCTACAGATAACCCAGCACCCCACCCATGCCTCGTCCACCATGCAAGTCTTTGTGCCTGGTTCTCGGTGTTTCCAGGCTTCTCATAAGAGTTCTTTGAACAGAACTTTCTATGGCTGAGAACATTTGAAAAGCACTAGTTTCCTCAAGTTTCCCAAAGTGTCTCTAGGTCCAGTTTGGAAATCTTCCTGACTGTGGATTTCCCCCAAAGTCTCTTTATATCCTCTAGTTATTCATGATTTTCTTTTCCTGGTTTTCAACATTTTTATTCAATTTTTTCATATAATATATTTTGATCATGTTTTCCCTCCCCAAGAACCTCCCAGATCCTCCTCAGCTTGCTACCCACTGAAGTGTGAATCTATTTAGTCTTAACAATAAAAACCAAGAGTCAGATTGGGGTAATAACCTGAAAGATCAGAGAAGCAAAGGAGCGGCCACTAGTGACTCCTTACCTCTCCAGATCCTCAGACCGAAAAGGGACCAAGATCCTATCTCCACCCACCTTATATTCCCATCTCCACCTCCTGAGTGGGCTAGGATTAAAAGTGTGAGCCTCCCAAGTGCTGGGATCAAAGGTGTGTGCGACCACTGCCTGGCCTCTATGGTTAACTAGTGGTTAGCTCCGCCCTCTGATCCCCAGGCAAGCTTTATTTGTCAGAACACAAACAAAATATCACATGACAGAGGGGCTAGACTGTCCTTCCCCCAGAGGCTCTTCCCTATATAACCCATGCATTTTTGGTTACCCAACTTCATGTTTCTCCTCTCTCTGTTTCTCTCACTCTCAAAAAAACAAGCAAGCAAACAAACAAATACAATGGGACCAAAAATAGGCAAATAAAACAAAATGGAACAAAAAGCGTACCCCGCCCCCCATACACACAAAAAGGAGTCTGTTTTGTGTAGGCCAGCTTCTCCTGGGCATGGAGAGGTGCTTGATACACCCAGTGACACTCCATTAGAGTTATGATTTTCTTTTAACTCGTGATTTTACTTTGTAGCCCAGGCTGGCCTGCCTGGAACTCAGTGTATAGCTCAGGCTGGCCTTGGACTTTCACTAATCCTCCTGCCTCAGCCTCCTTCATTCCGTGATTACAGACGTAAGTCACTATGCCCAGTCTTTGTGATTAATTAATGGCTTTAACGAAACCTGCTACATGTTGGATATGTAATGAGTGAACAATAACAAGGATGTGACTGACAACAAAATCTCAACCATGCAAGCATGCTGGGGACTGAAAAACCTGGACCCATTTTACCTAATACCTAACAGACAGGAAAAACTAACCCAGTTGGGAAGGTATCAGAAGCAACAGTGAAAACGCACACGTTGTAACAATCTGACATAAATCCTGAGTGATAGCATTTGGCATTTATCTGATCTTTGCTGCATTTTCTGCAACATGACGTTAACAATGCCTTTCATCTAATTCTTTGGGACCTTCAAACAGCAGACCTCATATCAGACTTTCCTCATTCACATGCCACCACTGGGATGTTTTTAAAGTGATTTTTGCTAGCTGCTTACACTACTAAATACCTCACAGAATAGACTTGATTTACATTTATAGACATTTATTTTAAGAGAAAACTTTACATCCCGGTTCATAAATCGAAGTCTAGGAACACTCGACGTGGTAAGAAGTAACTGCAGCATGACTTTGTGATAATGAAGATATTATTTTTCTCTATAGGTGCTGTGGGGCACCGTGTGTGGGGAACATCTCTTTGGCTCGTGACCTCACAGGCCCAGGGAGTGGTGCAGCAGTCAGAGTATCTCCGTGTTACCTGCCCCTCATGCACACACCCCCTCTCACGTACACGCTGCCTCCCTCGAAGCCAGCTGGCCACTAACACTCGATAAGCTGTTAACCTCTTATTTTGCATATTAATAAGAGACTATTCATGTTTCAAAACTCAAATTCCAGAACTTTCCTAGAATTTTAGGTATAATGTAGAAGAAATGGAGCCTTTCACTGGACTCACGTACTACAGGTGATGTGCACCCCGCTTCCTACTCACGGCCAGCCCCTGTATTGCTCTCCTCACTCCGAAGTTCCTGTTTCAGTTTCTCCCAAATGTAGAAGCTCACCCAAAAAAGGTAGCAAAGGTTTTAGGACTTGACAGGCATGCTCTTCTCAGACTGTGATGGCGTTCTAGGAAAGAAATATGGTTGAGCCACCTCATTGGCATGCTCTTTATTATAGTCACACCACCAGCTAGAGTCTCCCTGCACCCCACCCTACCCCACCCCACCCCACCCCACCCCCGGCACTGAGGGAGGGGAAGCTGGTCACGGAGTCTGAATACTGAACGGATGTTAGTGTAATTGTTCTCCTCTCACATTCTGAAGTCCTTCCTCTTTTGTGCTCATTAGACATCTCTCCTCCCAGGGCATGCTGGGAGAGCTGTCACACGTGAGGTTTCCCAAGAAACAGATGTGACTGAGATGAGACAGTATGCAGCCTGGCATTGGGCACAGGAGAGCCCCAACTGTGAGGGACGATCAGGGCTACCAGGTGGAAGGGAAAGGTGAGCTCTGTGGCACTCGCCACAGAGGCCCGGGCCAGCACCGGATGACCTAGGAGGTCTTAGAGCTGGCCAACAGGGGCAAGGGGTGGGACTCCGTGTTCGTCAACCATGAGATGTAAGATGTCCCCACAGAATGGTCATAAGCTTGAGCAAGGCGGCCCTCTTTGGCCAAGGGGTTCAGCAGCAAGCCACGGGCAGGTATAGCCGGGGATAGGACAGCGTGGTCCTCAGGAAGGACCGGGGAAGGGCACCCCAGATCTACCTCAATAGCGAACCCATTCGTGCCGCGCTCCCCAGCCCCGCCCACAAGCAGTGGCAGCAGAGACAAATTGCTGGGCCAGGTTCCCAGGAAGCCCTTTGCTGTGATGTTTCAGTGGCTCCTGCTAGCTGCAAAAGAGGGTGCAAGGCCGAACAAAAAGGGGGGAGGGGGCAGTGGGGGGGCGGGGGGGGCAGTGGGGGGGGCAGTGCACAGGCCTCATCTGTCTCCACCCTCCTGCGTTCACTGAAAAATGCCTGGGCAGGAAACAAATGAGATCTTGATGCCCACTGGGCTATCAATCTTGAGATACAGCATTCCATTTCAGAGTTATTTGACCAAAGCCAAGTTACAAATCTTGGGGGAGCTGGCTTTCCAGAGAGACAAGGACACTTGAAGGCATGAACTGGGGTGAACCTCAGCAAAGCCTCAGGTGACTTCGGCTGCCAATGTCAGCCAAGCATTTGCTTCCCTTGAGGCTAGGGGTGTTTTACATGGTGCTGGAACTTCAGTGTAAGACCCTCGAGGTAAGTCTGAGGGAGGAGGCAATCTCCTCCCCCATCTGCTTTCTGCTCCAGAGCCAGAACACACAGATGAGTGAGGAGTAAGTAATAATTGGCTCTTCTTGGGAACTAAGTGGAATGGGGAGCCTTCCTCCTCCCACATCTTTTCTTTAAGTGGGTCTGACTCACGTAGAGGGAAGAGCACCATCATTTTGTAGTAATCCGTGTCAGGGGTGGAGAAGGTGCCTCACAGAGGACTCCAGCATTACCAACACCGAAGAACCTATGATGTTGCCAATATGGCTGACTGAAGTTGTTTGCTATGAAGCCTCCCATTCCAACATTGCTTCGGTGAAGGTCCGAGGGAAGACCCAGCGGAGATGCCCTGACTTACGGTGATGGCGGTAGATCCACAGAACAGGAGTGAGTCACCTTCTCAAGCTTGCTTCTTTTTCTCCCAAACGCTGGGGTGTGGTGTCACTTGCAGAAGGGAGACCATCCCTGTGGCAGGAGAGCAGGGGGATGAGGTGGAGCAATATTGCCCTGAGAGTCTGAGGAATAGCCCCAGGCCCTTGCTCTCCTCCCTCGGTGGGTTGGAAAGCCCGCGCGCGCGCGCGCGCGCGCGCGCGCACACGCACACACGCGCACACACACACACACACACACACACACACACACACACACACAGGAGCCAGGCCACAGAGAAAGGCTCTACTTAGCCCTCATGGCTGAGCAATACAGCGTGCAGATTGGCTGGCTGCCCTTGTCCCCTCCTCTGATGCTTACCAGTCCCTCTGGGATGGGAGAAATCCTCTCTTCTCACCGGGAGAGAGCAAAGAGCAAAGGAATGGAGTGATTTGCCCTGGGCTTCCAGACACACACACTCAGTAAAAGGCCGAGGCCAGACTTGGGTCCCAGGCTGCCTGGCTCCTGCCTATTTCTGTTGATGGTTCAAAAGTCCTCACTACCGTGAGCCTGCCTCTCAGATGTCCTTTCACATAAAACAGACATCATCTAAGCTTCAAAAATATTTTATTAGCATGTATTAATTGTACAAAAGAATAGGTTTCATTCTGAGATTCTCCCACAGATATATAATGTATTTTGATCATATTCAACCCCCCATTAACCTCTCTTGTCCTTCTCCTCTCTCCCCCAAGTAGTCCCTAAAAGGGACATTTAATGGCAGCTTGAGGTAGATGCAGAATCCTGTCTGCTGCCATGCTCAGCTCAGGTGCCCTGGGCTCAGGTTACCTCAAGGTCAAAGACGTCTCCGCTCCTTTTCAGCCTTCACAGTCACGCACTGCAATGCCTCCAGCACACCAGATACTCGACAAATGTCGCTGCCTGGCTGGCTGATGTACAAGCGAGGTCAAAAGGTAAATCAGCCAAGGAGAGAGCCGGCCCATATTTTCACAAACAGGCCGTGCGTCACTCCAAATCAAATGCTTGGGTTATGTCTTTGGACCCAAACTTCCTCCCCTTACTCTGAGAATCAGGGATCCAATTTGCTTGTGTTCTGTTGGTCATTTACTTAAAAAAATTAACTTGGGGAGAAAAATGCCACTGCTAATTAAGGCTGAGGTGGTAGTTAATACCTGTCCCGGGTCTTGCTGCTCACAGAAGCACGTGGGCCGCGCACGCACGGAGCCCTTGGTCATACCTGTTTATGTACGGCCTGTCCTGCCCCATATTTCACAGATGATAGGATATGGCTCTGCATCTCTTCATGTTAATTCTATTTGAAATACTCCCCACCAACATCTTAGGGCCCTGCCATCTAATAAGTGCGGCCAATTTATTGATCATAAATCTAGGACAAGACAGACTCACGTTGGTGTGGGCCACAGGGCATTTAAATTAAACAGGAACTCTCCAGCCATCTGTGTTTTAACTTTTTTATGCCTTGATAATAAGCCCTGTTTAGAATAATTTGCTGTGGAAGCTGGGACTTCGTGACTGACAGAGAAAGGCCGGGTATAAACAACCCAAGCAGGCCCCTGAATTTGCGAGAATGTCAGGCGAATTTAGACTCATCATAAAAGAATTCTCAGTGACTGTATTTCAATATGACACTTTTATGGTTTTTTATTTTCTAGCCCATTGCAGCCTCACAGCCCTGGCATGATTTATACAGCCTGGCAGTGCATAATCTTTTGTATAAGATATACAGGCCTCCAGAGGTTTAATTTCTTCTCTCGCTGCCACTGACAGCGTTTGTGCTCGCCTTCTCTTCTATTTTCATTTCTAATGAGATATTGGACTTTGCTCAGTGAGAGGTGATATTTCCACATTTGCAGGCTGACAGGCTAAATCACCAGATCTCAGTGGTGAGGATACAAACCCATTTAAACTGTGTCAAAATATTCATGGAGCCCCATTGATTTGGGCAACGGTTATTAGGAAGCTATTTGGAAAGTTCAGGTTTAATTTTTGGAGCTTTCTGCTGCAAAATCACTCAGTTACATCACAGGGAAAATGGCATTAGGAGGGCAAAGAAGAGTGAGAGGTGTGGGCTGTCGCCTTCCTCCGGTCGGTCAGGATGTTAGTACAGAGATGACCTTTGTTAAAAAAGCAAAACAAAACAAAAATCCCGGAAGGATGCTTTAGTTAACGCATAGCAGGAAGCAAAGCAAATTCTTCCCATTGCATAAAAATGAATAGTATGTCAAGCTATCGAAATGTTTTTTATAAAGCAACAGTGAACACAACCGGCCGAGGAGATTAATGCTTGGCATGGCTACACTGACTTTTACCTCTGCCTTCGATCTTAAATCTGGCTGCAACTCCTGCAAACAGGAGCTGGGTGACGAAGTGGGATGGTTCAAATAGCCCGGGTTCACTTAGCATTCGGGAGCGTCGCAAAGGATAATTCCCGTGAACTGGGCAGGGAGGTGCCCTGAGGTAGAAGGCAGCAAATGACCCACAGAGGGGACTTGGCTCCCAGCTGAGCTCAGGAAATGCACGGGACAGAAGAAAGCCTTCACATGAGGCTGCTGGAGCCACGTGCTGGGATGTCCTTGGACACTGCAAAAGATGAAAGCCCTTTGGTGGGACCAAGCACAGTTGACCTTTCCATGGTAAGGTCATTTGCAATAGTTGCTTGATTTACAGCCTGGGACTTTATGGGAAGTTCATATTTACTAGGGTTCCTGAGTTCACAAGGACCTCATTAAATGGCACATATGATACACATACACACACAGGGGGAAATCACTTTGGCAATTTGCAAGCAATAAAGTGTATTCTGTACCACTTTACAATAAGTGGACATTAATGATTGCTAAATTACTGCAGAATTCCTATGGAACGGCATATTACATTCACATTAATAGCAAATGAGTTCATTGTGAGACACAGTATCATGGAACAGATCATGGGGATTAGGGAGGAACTAGGAAGGGCCAGGGCAATTAGACCCACGTGGACAGAAGTGGCCACCCATTCCAGTGTTGGTCCACTCAGATGTCAGCACCTCCTGACCTGGCTTGAGCAAGAACTTTGGTGCCAGGAGACCTACAAAGACCTCGGGTAGTGCATAGGTCTGTGCTCTCATACTTGAGAACTCATGACCCAAGATCCAAAGTTCCCAGGGCTGTATGAGTTTCTGGTCACGGGTCCTTTTGATCTGGGAAACGTAATCAAATGTAGAGAGGGATTTGGGGTAGATGTAAATTTAAGATCATCAGAAGGAAACTTTGTTAACAGTGAACGAGCCGCTTAAGGAAAGAGTCTCCATCTCTCTGGTACTTCAAAGGAGAACTTGTCACACAACTGGCTTCCTTGAGATCCTTTTTCTCCAAGGTCCAGGGACTTAACCTCCATGGACAAAGTCGAGTGAATTCTCCGCACAGTAGCCTCCCCGCCCCCTTCAGAGCAGCAGCACCCTATAGCAACTTCCTTATTCCCAGTGTGTCCGTGGTGTGCATAGCTCTAACACACTCAAATGTCCTCTTAAAGCAGGGCCATGTGCGCCACAGCATAACCCAAAGCATTATTAATGGACCAGACACCAGGGGCCCTGGGAACGGAAAGCCCTGCCTTATTGCCAAGCCTCTTTCAGCCAAGAGGAAGACTTGAAGGCACAACCTATGCCAGCTTGGCTGAGAGGCATCTCAGCTCCATGGCAGGCTCAACTGGTTATTGATTCTTTCTGAGCCTCAATTTCTTAAATATAATATAAAATGGGTAGGGTGATTCACAACACTGGTTGTGAAATTTAAATGTGATATTGTGAATGTGGTGCGCAACAGAGTCACTGGCAAGTCGAGTAACCAGAGTGGCCAATGTGGCCTCCATTTCCTTCCTGTCTTCTCTTCTTCATTTCAACTTCATCTTTGCTGATCTATTTCCTGGCTCACAGGAGATGCTAGGAGATGTGGAGAGGAAGCAGGAGGTACAAGATGGAAGAGAGGTAATGCCATGTGATAGAACACAGATTAATATAAATGGATTAATTTAAGTTATAAGAGGTAGTTAGGAACAAGCCTAAGCTATAGGCTAAGCTTTCATAATTAATAAGAAGTCTCTGTATCATTATTTGGGAGCTGACTGGTGGGACCGAGAAAGACTGGTTACACACACGCACACAGATACATATAAATACAACCTGCTGAGCCTGTTTTCTGCTGGTGGTGTGTATATGGGAGGGAAGGTAGTTGGGAGGGGCTAGAGGGAGGAAAAGGATGGGAGACAGTGCTGTAATTCTATTTCAACTAAAAACATGGTTTTAAAAATAAGGAAGAATAGCTAATGCAGTAGATTGAAATCATGGATTTTCAAAAAAGAAAGAAAAGAAAATGCTAAATAAATAAATTGAGTCAGACACAGGCATTTTCCTCAAGGGACCCACAATCCTCCAGGTGGCGTAAACCCCTGAATAAGTTTGCTCTCTACTTGTGACACTCAAAGAAAAGTCCCCAAGTTTAAATCTGTGAGTGTCATGGGGCCATGCCACGCCGCTCAAGGTGGAGGGGCCGAGGACAGAGAGAAGCTGTCTGGATGCAGAAGGGGCAAGCCTAGCGAACACTTTGCCGACTTAGAGAAGGTATATAATTCACAAGGAGAAATAAAGTTGACCAAAACACTGTCTATAACTCCACATAGTCAACAAACCTCCCCAAAAAGCTTTTGCCTGTTTTTGGCAGACTCTTCCCACTATTCCCACTCGAGGCTCCAAATGAAGAATGATGTGGTTCTGACAGGCACAGTGGTTGATATTTTCATCCCCATCAATGATTGGAACAAAAGGAGAAAGGTGAAGACATCTGTCCAAAGCTGGGTCTGTGGATGACCTCCGTAGCATCTTTGCTAAGCCGGACATAGTTTTCAAATTCTCACAGAGTATTTCCTCAGATATTTTAGTCATCTTTACACTGTAACAACCACACACATGACACACTTAAGCTCTCTGCACTGGGGATTTTTTTCTCCACCTTTTTCTTAAGTCTAGCTAGTCACCAAAACAATACACACGGGCTGGTTTTCAGCCCTTGCTCGTTTCTATTTTTATAACACTACCACAGTCAACTTCAAGGTGCCAAGTTGCTGAAAGTAAAATTGGACTGAGACCCGTCACATCTAAGCCCACCATTGTATGTGGTTCAGCTCTACAAACACAATAGACCCAAATAACCTTCGGAACACGGCTGAGGAGGGAAGATGTGGGACAACCGGGGAGCACTGAACTTCGAGTATACTACATAAATCTTTGGGTTTTAGTAAGATACTTAATTGAAAGTATACAGTGAGTTTTCTTCCAAGGCACAATAGATGCACTCTTCTCCACAAGACCTGTTCTGGCAGCTGGTACCTGAGAGCAGAGGTAGATACATGCTGCTCTGGCCCCAAACGTCACTTCCTCCATGCCAAGAATCTTCTCACTTCTGATCCTCCTGAATGTTTGACCTTTATTCCTAGTGACCCAACTCTATGGAGGTGAGTCCATTGCTCCCCCACCTCCAAGAAAGTGAGTCCATTGCTCCCCCACCTCCAAGAAAGTGAGTCCATT